GCAGAGAGTTCTCAGGTCTTCGTTTCCTGACTAATCAGCTTATCGGTCGGGCAGCCTTGGCTACTCTTAGCTGCGTCAGCAGAGCAGGCACTTGGATTTATTTTTCCCCCCCTTTCTTATCTTCTCCAAGATAAATCTCAGAATCCTCATTACGTTCCACAGCAGCGTGATATAACCCTGTCGATGAGGATATTGCTGCCTCTCCTTCTGAGGATCTGGCGGGAGCAGGAAGGCGGCGCAATTCAGTTCGCGCTCTCGTGGATACGTGAGACTGCTTGGGGTGAGGCTGCTGCAGAGCGCTCCATCTTCTTCTGTGCTCATCATTAGCGAGCGAGCGTGCGTCTCCAGCCACTTCCTCTCTGCTTCACTCGAGCTCCCGCTGGCTTCTTCTGCCAGCTCGACTCCACCTTGACGGAGGCCCTGATTTCAGCTCCCCAGCGGCGGGAGTCTTGCCTCTGAATGCCCTGTGCTGGCCGGTTTTCAGTCGGATGTCGGCTGGGAGACGCCTGTGCTGGTTTCCGATGAAGCAGCAGGGCAGGCACCTGCGGCTCAGCCGAGTGACCCGAACGTTGAGAGCACACGGAATATAATATTCCCACATCATGCCACGCTATCATCTCTGCCAAGTCTGAATATGATCTCCCGCTCTTCCCAGATTCTCTTTGTAGCACGTTAAGTGGCTGAGTCCTGCATTGTTATGCTCCTGTTCCCTGTGATCCGCTACACTTGCATGCAGCACGCTGAGTGCATTGGGATTTCTGCTTCCCCTGGGCCATGCCCCGAAGGAGACTGTTCTCTGAACACTTGCAAAAAACCACACCATTTGTGCGTCCTACAAGTGCAGTTTGTGTTTTTTTATTACTGTTCTACTAGGGAGTTATTTTAATAAGTGTTTTATGGCCTCAGTGGCTGATAGCGATTCACATGCAACAAAGGCTAGCTTGACTCTGTTTGAGGCTCATGCCTGATTAGAAACCACCCATCGTGTTGAGCAGACGTAGTGCTGAGCACACAGAGCTTCTCCTGTCTTGTTTGTATACATTTACCACAGTGGGTCTCCTCTGAGCAAAATGTTCTGGATTAAAAAAAAAAAGGCAGGGGTTTTTCGTTTTGTTTTTTGAAATAAAGAAATATAATTATGAGTTCATTTAAACTATAAAATTCAAAAGCTGATTGAGTTAACAAAAGAGCAGAATGCAAGGCAGCCTTCAGTCAGGCTGTCAATGACCAAACCACCCACCGGCCTCCCTGTGGCTCATGGGAGCCCTTTACATTATAAGCATCCCCTCTGCACTGCATTGAAAAAAGCCCATTAATCTTACACCTGAAAGGTGCCTGCTGCAAGTCATAAACCTTATTGAAATCCAAATAACTCCACAGTTTTCAATTTAGGTTTCTACAACTGCTTTTTCCATTGTACATGAAAGGTTCTTCGGCTGTACCCTAACAAATCTTAACCTATTCCATGTGCAGGAGGGGGTAGCTGTCAGTAGACTTGGAATAAAATCACTCTGACAGGCCGCTTTAGATCCATTCGCATTAATAGCAATAAAATAACTTCTCCCTTGCACTTTGCTTTGGTTTAAGACAACTAGAATGAAGATAATAGATTAAGATGTCCAGCATTTAGCTTTTGTCAGTTTCTTTTGGAAAGTAGCAGTTAATGTTACGAATACATGTGGACAAGACCCCCGATGTCTGACCTCGTTGTAGGGTTAGAAGACTGTTATACCCAGAGAGGAGATCTAGATAGTGGTGTGTGTGTGAGAGACTTTCTCTGTGAAACGATGGAACACTGTTACAGGGAGCAATGAGAACAGGCAAGGGAATCGGATCTAACACTGCTTTAGAGGTCAGACCTGGCTCGCTGTGCCGCCGTGCTTGACAGGGCTATGATGTTGATGTATGTTTGCTTTATGTATTATTAGAAAGCTGACGCAACGTGGTTTTTTTTTAATCGCGATTACTGATAATCCGCAGATAATTTCCACTCAGGATTGCAGAGCTCCCTAGTTATAAAAAAAAACTGATTACAGTAAACCCATTACGAGGTGAAACCTGACTTTGTCCTTTCTCCCAGGCGAGCGGATTGGGATCTTTAATGAGGCGCAGCTCCTATTGTGCTGCGCTGCTGCAGCAGGCTGGGGAGACGAGAGCGCTCTGCACATGGGGCATGGATCACGGTCATGGATCCGTCGCTAAAACCCCATCCCGTGGGACAGAATCGGGGTTCCTCACACTAGCAGCTGCAGGGAATTGATGTGGGAAGTGGGGTGCAGCCCCCCCCCTCCACTCCCTCCCGTGCTCAGGGTGACCCCGAGGTCCCTGTCCCATCGTCCCGCGGGCTTGCGGTGACACCGGGGAGGCCCGGGAGCTGGAGGAACGCCTCCTCGGGAGTTTCCTCGTGGGGGGGGGGGCGTTTCGCTGTTCGAAGGAGTTTTCTTGAGCCGAGGCTCATCCCTGACCCACTGAAAGATCAGCATGTCTCCTGCTGCTGCTGGTTCTGTCCAGGGTGTCTTAACGTGCCATTCATCCCCCCCCCAGCTTCGATAACTGCTCTCCTGTTCACGGCTCGCCGGTGGAGCCTGTCCTGACACATGGCACAGGGACACCAGTGCCCGTCCACACTCACACTTGCATACTGGGGGGGGCGCTGCAGGTGGAGCCAGGACTGCCGTCTCCCCCTGCGCGTTCTGTGCCAGTATCAACCTGTGGCGCTGTGTGGTTGACCCGTGGTTGACCCGCCTCCCCCTCCCTCTCTCCGCCAGCACCTGTCCAAGCAGGTGGACCTCCTCCGCCAGATGAACGAGCAGCACGCCAAGCTCTACGAGCAGCTGGACGTGAGCGCGCGCGAGCTGGAGCTGACCAATCAGAGGCTGGTGGTGGAGAACCGCAGCTCGCAGCACCGGATCCAGGGGTGAGGCTCTGCCGGGGCTCGGGCTCGGGGACGGGGCGGCGGGGGGCAGCTGTCCAGAGGGTGAGCCTCCTCTCTCGCCCTGCCCAGGCTGACGGAGACCATCGAGAGCCTGCAGGCTCAGGTGGAGGAGCTGCAGCGGCAGGCGGAGGAGCTGCGGGCGCCTCGGCGCGAAGACCGCCTGAGCCGAGACCTGGCCGAGCAGTGCCGCTCCACCACCACGCAGAGTGTGTCCTGCCTCAAGGAGCTCTATGACATGCGCAAGTGAGCCACTCGCCGGGGGGGGGCGACGCAGAGCTGCTCTGGCAAACCACACAGCAGAGCAGTCCCGTGGCACGCAGGCTGTTACAGCACGGCCCCAGTCCCAGTCAGTGGCTTTAATAATGAGGGCTCGGCTCCTGAAATCCCTAATAATGAAAGGCTGGCAGACGGGGGTAATTTAGCCAAGTGAAGTCCCGCGCGCATGAAGGATGAAACGCGGAGCTAGAGGCTGCGCTAAAGTTCAAGTTCAAGTGAAGGTGGTAGGAGAGCAGTGGCCGGAGATTGCCCCGGCCGACAGACTGGTTCTTAAGGATCCCTGTACAGCCACCCTTAACACCCTAAACACGGCGCTGACCCCCGCCACTGTCTGAGCGCCTGCTAGCTGACTCAGAGGTCTGAGTGCACGTGAGCCCAGACTGTCTGATCTCCTCTGGACAGTCATTCACAGTCTCGCGGCAGAATCCCCTGTGGCCTTTTCACCGCAGCCAGACAAAGACACACCAGGGCTGGGCTGAGTGCACGTGGGCTTTGTTTTCCTTTCCTTCAGCCTAGGGCTCATCTTGGCTCGGAGCAGCCACGCGCTGACCGAGCGCACCAGCTGCTGGTGAAATCCGGGGGGTGATTGCAAAGATCTGGGCCTGTGAGTTTCCAGGGCTTTTGAGTCCGTG